GGCTGACTCAGGGAGACACGGCTCTCTTCACAGCATCCCATGTCCCGGGCCCAGAGAACAGGTCTACTTTGCCAAGAAGGATGGTGGTGTGGACTTTTAAAGACAGGTACATCTCTACCAAGGGCTCAAGGAGAAAGCAAATGTTTTGAGAATTACGAAGGCAACAAATGTACAAATGTGCTTGATACAATGGATGGATTGTGATAAGAGTTACTATGAGCTCCCAATAAAATGATTAAAAAATAAAAAGACAGGTACTTCCCACCCAAGTATTAATAGTAAAGTTAAACAGAAAACATCAAGTGCTGGCCGAGGGGGTGGAGAGACCAGAACACTCACGCACTACTAGGGGGGCGGACCTATCGAGTGGTAATATCCCCGCGGACAACAGTATGGCGCTACCTCAAAACGTTGGAAATAGAAATACTGTTCGGGCCAGCCATACCTCGACTTGGTGTATACAGTAGGGAAAGAGGAACCGAGGCATGACTAGATAGGTATATGCACACCCGTCTTCACCGCAGTACTGTTCACAATAGCAAAAACAGATGAAACACATCTATGAACCACCTCATCACATGGACGAACCTGGAAGATACCGTGTTGAGTGAAATAAGTCCATCTCCAAAGGACATGAAGCCCTTCAAGAGACCAGCACTGGAGCCAGCTGTGCCTCCAACCAGCGGCCCAGACTGAGGCCTTTCCAGGAGAGGAGCTGCCCACTCGGAGTCAAAGGTGGAAACTCTGGACTTACCAAATCTATCTCGGAAGGGAGGTGGTGCGTCTGCTGCCCTGTTGTCCTTGGACCAGCATTTCTATCAATGTTGAGCAATTCTCTTGTCTTCTGACACTGTGCAGGAAGATCGCTGCTTGGCAAAAGATGATTAAGGCCATTAATGAAGAAATAAGGACCAACTAGTATAACACGCTGGCAAACACAATGAATCCTGCTCTAGCGGAGGCAGCACATCAGACAGGCTCAACCGTATGAGGGCTCGTCTCCACCTGCAAGCACACGGGGACTTTTCACACGGTCTCCAGATGTCTAAGGCCTCCTCCAGGCCCCTATCAGCAGCAACCAGCGGGAAGGTGACCTCTGAGCTTGGGCCCTGCCTGGACAAGGAAATGGCCAAGGGGCCAACACTAGGAGGGCTCTTGCCTTTCCGGGCCATTCCAGTTGTCCTCCCTTCCACGGAGACAGGAGACTTGCCTTTCAGCAACATTTGCACTTCCCTCATGAAGTAGACCCGTCAGCCCAGCCCCACGGAGGGGTCAGGTAAGGGCCTGCGCTGCCTGGGAATTTTCTGTTCGGAACATTGGGACTACTGGGAGGGGAGCTATCACAGACCAAAAGCTGACATTAAAAAAGCATTTTAGAAAGGATAGTTGTTATGGATAAAAGAGGAGTCATTTGAATGGAACTCCAGCTGGCTCCAGGGGCAGGCGTGGTGGGGATTTGCTCCTTTCCCAGAGATCCCAGATTCCTCCTTCGAGTGTCTTGCAGAAACAGCAAGTAAAATAATGGCTCCTGAGGGGTACGCTGTGTGTGTGTTGCGGGAGGGGGCAGGGAGTTACAGGGAAACTGATGTCAAGGAGTTCAAGAAGAAAATGTTTAAAAACCGACTGCGGTAAGCAATCGTATACTACTGCTTGATGTGATTGAACCATGGAGCAATATGATAACTGTATTAGCTCCCAAGAAAATGGTTTTGGAAAATAGAAAGAAAATCACATCTTAATGAGCAAAATATAAATAATCCAATAAAAGCAGCACAAGACATGAATAGATAC